TCTTTGCAGTTTTCATACCTTTTAGTTTATGTATGTTTGAGGATAGTTGTTTTGCTTTGGGTTGATTGGGTTTTATTGCTTTGTCCACTAAGTTTTGTACATAAATGTATGTGTTCTTTATTTTTTTTTTTTACCTTAAAGGACATGTGCTTTAGGCTTTTTTATTACTCTGTGTTGGAGCATCTTTCATTTCTTGGAACACATTTTACCTTTCATGAAATATATTGTTTGCACATTATTGGACTTTATTTACCAATATTTTATTTAGGACTTTGTTGTCTGAGTTGACCTGTGATGTTCTTTTGTAACATTGCATTTGTCAGATTTTGGAATCAAAGTTTATTGATTACCATGAAATGCATTTGGAATGGTTAGCATCATCTAGAGCTCTTTTTCCTTTACAGTTGAGTGAATATACTTCCATAGCTGGGAGGACTTATGTTTTTCTTTTTGCCTTTTTTCTTCCCTTGGGTAAGTGCAGGTAGCTTTTAAAATGTATGTGCTTGGCAACTAAGAGATAGCATAGATAAATGGGACCTCATAAAGCTAAAAAGCTTCTGTTCATCAAAAGAAATGGTCTCTAAACTGAAGAGAACACTCACAGAGTGGGAGAAAATATTTGCCAGCTATACATCAGACAAAAGACTGATAACCAGAATATATAGGGAACTTAAAAAACTAAATTCTCCCAAAACTAATGAACCAATAAAGAAATGGACAAGTGAACTAAACAGAACTTTCTCAAAAGAAGAAATTCAAATGGCCAAAAAACACATGAAAAAATGTTCACCATCTCTAGCAATAAAGGAAATGCAAATTAAAACCACACTAAGATTCTACCTCACCCCTGTTAGAATAGCCATCATTTGCAACACCACGAACAACAGGTGTTGGTGAGGATTCGGGGAAAAAGGAACCCTCTTACACTGTTGGTGGGAATGTAAACTAGTACAACCACTCTGGAAAAAAATTTGGAGGCTACTTAAAAAGCTAGACATTGATCTACCATTTGATCCAGCAATACCACTCTTGGGGATATACCCAAAACACTGTGACACAGGTTACTCCAGAGGCACCTGCACACCCATGTTTATTGCGGCACTATTCACAATAGCTAAGTTATGGAAACAGCCAAGATGCCCCACCACTGACGAATGGATTAAGAAAATGTGGTATCTATACACAATGGAATTTTATGCAGCCATGAAGAAGAAAAAATGTTATCATTCACTGGTAAATGGATGGAATTGGAGAACATCATTCTGAGTGAGGTTAGCCTGGCCCCAAAGACCAAAAATCGTATGTTCTCCCTCATATGTGGACATTAGATCAAGGGCAAACACAACAATGGGATTGGACTTTGAGCACATGATAAAAGCGAGAGCGCACAAGGGAGGGGTGAAGATAGGTAAGACCCCTAAAAAATTAGCTAGCAGTTGTTGCCCTTAACGCAGAGAAACTAAAGCAGATACCTTAAAAGCAACTGAGGCCAATAGGAGAAGGGAACCAGGAACTAGAGAAAAGGTGAGATCAAAAAGAATTAACCTACAAGGTAACACCCACGCACAGGAAATTAATGTGAGTCAATTCCCTGTATAGCTATCCTTATCTCAACCAGCAAAAACTCTTGTTCCTTCCTATTATTGCTTATACTCTCTCTTCAACAAAATTAGAAATAAGGGCAAAATAGTTTCTGCTGGGTATTGAGGGGGTGGGGGGAGAGGGAGGGGACGGAGTGGGTTGTAAGGGAGGGAGTGGGGGCAGGGGGGAGAAATGACCCAAGCCTTGAATGCACATATGAATAATAAAATAAAAAATAAAATAAAAAAAATAAAATGTATGTGCTTGTGTGTACACGTGCACATGTAGGTATATTTAGATTTTTCTTTTTTAATCAATTTTGGTAGCTTACTGTATTTTTATAGAAAATGTCCTATCTTGTCTTAAATTCTTTGATATTAGTTTGTTCATAGAATTTCCTTATTTTTAGTATGAATTGTAACTCTAGCAATATTTTCTTTTTTTTAATTTTCTTTTAAAATTATCAATATTAGTGATTTATAATTTGTCTTGATCAGTTTTTCAGATGCTCGTCCCTTTTATTAGTCTTTTGTAAGAAACAGCTCTTGTTCAGGCTCTCATTTTTCCTCCATTTCCTTTTGAGTTCCATTTTTCCTTTTATTTCTATAAGTTTCTTTCATGGTCTTTTCCTAAACATTAGAATTTTGCATCTAGCTCACTTTAAAAAAAAAATGTCAAGAATGCACAGCTTTTAGTTATATCCCATAAGTCTGACTCATATTTTTATTATTATTTTAACTCGCTGTCATTTTTTTCTTGGGGCTATGAGTTATTTAGAAGTTGGTTTTAAGAGAATAAAGAAATGAGTTATGTAGTTGTCATTGTCAGATAAAGTAAAAACGTGGTAACTACTGATGACTATCATATCTTGTACTAATGAATAATACATATATTTCATATACTTTTTAAAGCAGTGTTTTGGAGAAGAGATTCTAGATTTTCATGACTTTTAATTTGAAAACTTTAATAAAGTTAAAATTCAATTTTGTTTTAATTGTCTCATAGTGAGAGGGAAATATAGATAATTTCAAATGCATATGACTTAAAGGCCACCATAAGTAGAAATTAAAGTTTACATTTGCTTAAAAGGCTAGTTTTCTAAATAAACAAGAATCTAGAGACATGGTTCCGCAAAAATTCATCGTCTTTTTACTCATAAAGAAGTTTGGAGAATTATTTTTATCTTTTTTGGTGTAGCAAAACATAATTTAGGATATGATATGTTAGGGATATCTTAAAGGTATCTTTTAAGATAACAACAAATGATAAATACTGTGCTTCAGTCATTTTTATTTGAATTTTCAAATCCCCATTGAAGCCAAGGCCTAACACAGGCTAGGTATGTGCTCTGTCACTAAACTATATCCCTAGCAATAATGGTTTTATGTTTCTGTATCTTGGCCATGCAATTATTTTTGCTTATTGTCCAAAAATGGGCTATGAATAATAAATATATTAACTTAAATGCTATTTAGTTGTAAGAAGCTTGGTGCCTTTTAAAAATTAACTTTTCAAGTGATTCCTTTTTCAACAAGTCAGTGAGTAGATGAATATTTCTTAATGTACATTTTTTGTCTAAGATGTCCAAAAAATGTTAAAAACTACTCATTGCCAGAGCTGACAGTAAAGTGCCAGCTTAGTGAGCACAAAGTCCCGAGTTCAAATTGAGTACCACCAAAAAAAATTTATTCATTGCCTTTCATATAAAAATCAGTTTTGTTTAACTTTAGTCTTTTTGGTAGTTTGCCACAGCATTAACATTTGGTCTTGAAATGATGAAAAAGAGAGATAACGACCTGTGACATATGATTTATGTGTGCTCCTCAAAAACACTATTCTCCCAGGTAACACAAAAAGAACACTTCTGGGCTGGAGGCTTGGCTCAAGCAGTAGAGCACCTGTAAGTACAAAGTCCCAAGTTCAACCCCTAGTACCACCAAAAAATAAGACAAATGAATAAAATTTTTAAAAACTTTCTACAGTTATATGAAAGAAGTTGCATTTCAAATCAGCAAGGGATTAACTGATAATTCATTGAATACTTAAATAGAAACTGAGTAAAATAATGAGAGGTCCACCTCACTTTATTCTCTAACATGGACCTAAAATGATAAAACTCCTACATGAAAACATGGGAAAGCTTCATGGTATTGGATGTGGAAATGATTTCTTAGATAAACACACAGAGTCATAGGCAACAAAAGCAAAAGGAAGACAAATGAGTATATCAAACTTAAACTTATTTCTTTTAGTTCTAGAGGGACAAGTAATCTTTCAGCATGTATAGAATGTAAAAGGGAAAAAAACATAAGCCATGATTATGAATCATAAGCCATGTTGATTTTATTTTTATTTATGTGTGTGCATATATGTTGCAGCTAATAGTTTTAGTCCATAGCGTTTAATTGATTGCATTATAGCTATGGTCTCTGGGGGCTTGCTTAATCTGGAACCAATAAAACAGGTGGACTTCTACCACTTCAATGACATAGCTAGAGTAGAATTCTTTACAGTTAAAATTGGCAAACAAAAAAAAATGCTCATTTTTCTTGAAACCTTGCCAGTAGAAGTGTAAATTAGAAACTTTCTGTAAAACATACTAGTTTTGTGAAACATATTAGTAGCCAAGATACCATTGAAAGTTTCAGATACAGCCATATGAATACACATTTATTATTCAAGAGGAACTCTTTGTTTTCCTTATTCAGTATGTATGCAGCTTAGAACATTGAGATGAGTTAGTTGGTCATTTTAAAATTTATTCGTTTTTTTACAGTTCTTTGAGAGTGATATATTAAATTTGCCCTTTGAATTTTTTAAAGTTCTATAAAAGAGAAACAACTGTCTTTAGGAGACAGTTTTTTAAATGACAGTTTGGGCCATTATCCATTAGCAGTGCCAAACCTATGCAAAATAATGAGGTAGAAAAAATATTTTCATTGTATTCTTATATTTGGATTTCCTCTTCTGAGCATTTGGTCTTCCTCCTTCATGTTCCTAGTGTTTTCTCAGTCTTGCCTATCTAGAAATAAAGCCACTCATACAATAAACTGTTAAGACAGTTCATGTTACCCTATGAACTGTTAACACTTTTAAAAGAAAACAATAACTGAAATATGCGTATACCAAAAACCAACACCCAAACAACAGAAAAGAGGACCTACTAAATGGAGTAATAATGGGTGATGGTGGAGTTGCTGGCATGAGAAGTCTGTCTGAGAAGTCGTTTACCTTGGATTCATACTATCTAGGTGATGCTCTGTCCTGATGAGGAAAGAGTCTATCTGGCAGATTCTACTGCTGCTTTGCTACCACGATGTTTCTCAACCACTGAGATGTATTACTAACTTCCTCCTTTGGACACTTGTCACACTACCTTGAAATCAAATCCTTTTTTTTTGTTTGTTTATTTGTTCAAGACTGAAAGAGCATATTCCTTTTGTGGAACTATTGAATACATGGCACCAGATATTGTCAGAGGGGGAGACTCAGGACATGACAAGGTATGTTCTATTTTTGATACTTCTTTATCTCCGTAAAGTGTGCAGTAAGAATCCTGATTAATAACTTCAGGTACAGCCTCTTCAGCAGAGCCCTCTTTCTGGTGTTGTTACCTTCTCTCTTTTGCTTTATATACCTGAACACATTATGAGTTCTAGCATTTTGGAGAAAAAAGATAATAAAGCAGTTAAGCCACTCTAGATTTTCCTTTTTAAAGTGTTACTGGTAAGGATTTTTAGTTTGTTTTGTAGAGTAACACTTGTTAAAGTTGAGACCTCAAAATTAATTCTTCAAATACTTTTTAACTTATTTACCTTTAAGGAGCCTATAGCTTAAGCAAAGCACCAATGATGACTCCATTTTTTAAAAAATCTTTTTCTGTTGCATAGGACCTTGGTCTTTCAGGACACAATAGAGCTGCATATGTGAACCGTATACATGATTCCTGTCTGAATCATGATGAATGATTTAAACAGTGCTTTTATTGGCAGGATTAATTTTGCTAGAAAACATCATTATGTGTACCACACCTATAGTTGACCAGTGCTTTCTAAGTCATTAAAAAGAGAATCACTCATATTTTCTTATTTCCATTTCTGTGTTTAACCTTACAGAGGTACTGATGACTTGGTTGATTATCTCTCCAACAGAAATAAACAATTTTAACAATCTTGGAAGAAGAAGAAATCCTGCATCTCAAGACAGTCTGTTTTCCTAACTCTCTAAAAAGTTCACTTTTTTTTTTTGATTCTTCCTTTTGTATGTGCAACATGAATATCTTAGAAGAAGCTTTCTAAGTAATTATGTTCTAAAATCTAGGTTATATTTTTCCATTTCTGAATTAAAGGGTAAAAAATTTGCTCAGTCTTTCTTTAACACTTTTGTTTTATTAATAACTTTCTCCAAATAAGTAATTCTAGCTGTTTTTGTTCCTCATCTTTCTCTTTCCCTTTATCCCCTTTCAACCTGCATGCATAGGTTGGGGTCATGGCTCAAGTGGCAGAATATCTGCCTACCGAAACATATGTGCATATTTGCATCCTCAATATCTTTTTTAATTACCATTAATATATTTATAAGCTCATTTGATTAGCATTGGTTTTAGGCCCATAGCTAGGAATCTGATTATGGGTGTGTATCAGCAGATAAGCATGGTGTTATGTCCAATAGCACAACATTCTGAGACTCCAACTCAAATGGCAGTGGAACTGCTTGTATGAATTAAAGAGTTAAATTGCTGCTTAAGTTTGCTTCATGGTTTTCTTTGAAGCTCCTGGACAAATTGGTAGGTATTCAAAACTGTTAAAATTGGAAATTTAGGGCTAGAGACGGCTCAAGTAATAGATCATCTGCCTAGCAAATACAAAGCCCTGAGTTCAAACCCTCATACCTCCAAAAATAAAAAATTTGGAAATTTACCAAATTAGCTACAGGAGCTAATTTGCAAATGAGAAAACCTTATATTGCTCCTAGAACCCCTGCATACCTGAGGTCCACAATACAACGAGTCAATAGATGTTCTTTCTTGAAGGCACAATATCCAGATAACTTTGAGTTAATTCAATGAGATCATGTGTGCAAAGTACTCAAAACAGGGCCTGGCATGGAGGAAGCATTCAAAAAGTACGTTTCCTCTCATGGGTTCAGTCAACCTGATCTTGTTTTATATGTCAGTGCCCTGTGTTTTCTTGGAATTAGCTCTGGATTCATAATCTTGGTGTCCGCTCTCTGAAACTTTGGTCCCAGAGTTTGGAGGCAGATAGTTTAAATATTAAATTTTTAATATTCATTAATGTTTCTCCTTGGTATAAACTCATGTCAGCAAGTACTCAGAGTTTGATTGCCTCATTATAAAAGAACTTGTTTTCAATATATCAAGTTCTTTAAACTATATGCAATTCACTGTTCCCTTGGTTTAGGTAACTGCATTTGCAAATGAATTTCTAATTTAGAACACATTTTATTTTTTCTATTATTTTAAATCCTTCCATCATAAAAATGATTAGATTTATGTGAGAGTCTATATAAGAGAACTTGACTTAGGAACTCATGAAAAAGTAATGCCCTTGGATGAGATTGAAATTTTTTTATTTGATTTTAAGGAACTTCATGAGGTTCTTTGGCATTGAATATTAAATAAAAATGGTTATTAGTGGCTTTTTACACAGTATAAGTCCAGTGATTTCACCTACTTCAAATTTTAAAATTTTCTTTCAAGTTGAATTGTTTTAAATTATTCAGGGTTAAACTGTAGCTAGTTTAGAAAATAAAATACTTTCAGGATACCTGGATATCAGTTCTCTGAATAGCTTTCTTATATGTGCTTATTTAATACTTGTTGCATAGAAAGCTATGGATAAAAATTTCTGTTAAAATATATTCCAACTACATAGCTTTACTTTGTTCAGTTTTTCTTTCTTACAGAATATATTTTAGCTGATAATTCTACATGAAATTATAATTGTTTTATAGGCAGTTGACTGGTGGAGTTTAGGTGTTCTAATGTATGAATTACTAACTGGAGCATCTCCTTTCACTGTTGATGGAGAGAAAAATTCCCAAGCTGAAATATCGAGGTAAGATTTAATATGAAACAAATGTACTATTTTCTCAAAAGAACTGAGCAAATTTTGTAATTAGGCTGATGAAAAATAATTTTAGCAGGGATAAACAAAATGATGTTTATGGGGTAAATTACTTATACTCAAACAGAATATAGATACATAGCCTTCCTATTTCTTCATATTTTATGTTCCATGTTAGATCATAAGTCTCATAAGGATAGTGTCATAATTTTTATGTACTTTTAATTACTTAGCACATTGTCCCACACCTACTAGGTACATCATTTATTGAGAAGTTTATTTGATTGTATTATATATACAGTGGGTGAAAAGTATCAATTTCTTTACCACTTTAACCTGAAGAAACAGAAATAGTACTTTTCAGTTCATGGATGTGGGATCAATAGAAGCAAATACCAGAAAATTACCGTCTTGAAAGTTTTCATAGCATTGTTCTGTTCTGTTCATTCATAGCACCTACCACAGTTACAGTGTTAGTTTGTTTATAATTATTTGATTAATGTCTGTCTGTCTGTCTGTCCCATTAGATTGTAAGTTCCATGAGAGCAAGGTGCATGTCTTACTTTGATCCTCAATACTTAATAATATTGAATTGAATGACTATATGAAAATATATGAAAGAACAGTTTTGAGGACATTAGACATCTGCCAATGAAGGACAGGGATTCTTGATAGTCAGAAAATAAACAAGGTAAGCCCTAAGATTTCCCCCAGCTGCAACACAGGTGGAGTTAGGGTTATAGAGAACTAGAGTCCTAGAAGACCAAGGTAGCTAGAATGTGCAGGCCAGAGTCTCAGAGAGGAGAGAGCTGGAGAAGGAAGTCCAGAGATTTCCAGAGTGTTCAGTTGAATAAGGTAAACCACTCCAGAGATTTCCAGAGTTCAATTGAATAAGGTAAACCTTATTCAAGCAAACCTTCAAGCAAGAGGGAGCTAGTCAGTACAATTAAGATGCCATTTTCCTCCATGTGGCTCAATAGATTCAATACAGTTACAATTCCAGCAGACCTTTTTCTTTTCCATTAGTAGAAATTGATAACCTGATTGTAAACTTCATATAGAAATGCAGAGGTCCTACAATCACCTTTGAAGAAACAGAGCAAAGTTGATTTGAAGACTTATCACAAAGCTACAGTAATTAAGACTTTATGGTGTTAGTATCAAGAGAGATGATAAATGGAACAGAACAGAGTCCAGAAATAGAATTATACATATACAGGCAACTGATTTTTTGACAAAGGTGCAGCAAAGTCACTTCAATGGAGAAGTGATAGTTTTTTCAACAAATGCTGCTAGAACCATTGGCTACTCAGTTGGGGAAGAAATGAAATTTGATAAATACTTCATACCATATAGAAAAATTTACTTAAAGTAGATCATAGACCTAAATGTAAAACCTACAACTATAAAACTTCAAGAAGAGAACATAAAGAAAAATTCCTGTAACCTTGGTTATGTAAAGATTTCTTAGGTCTGACAGGAAAGGACCACCATAAAAGAAAATATTGATAAGTAGACTTCATCACTATTAAATACTTCTGGCTGGGTGTGGTGGTACATGACTGTAATTCTAGCACTATGCAGGCTGAGGCAGGAAGATCACAAGTTTGAAGCCAGCCTGGCCTACATAGTGAGTTCCAGGCCAGCCTGTGTTAGCGTGTCTTTAAAAAAAAAAAAGAAAGAAACTAAAAAAAATATACTTTTAAATACTTCTCTTCAAAACTGTTAAGAAAATGGAAAGACAAGCCACTGACTGGAGTAAATTTTTAAATTGTATGTCTAATGAAGGACTGGTATCCAGAATATGCAAAGAATTCTGAAAACTCAAGAAAACAAACAACCTCATCATAAAACAGGCAAAAGCTCAAATGAACATTTCAGCAAAGAAGATCAGTGAGTGACAAATAAGCACATGAAAAGTGAACCTACATCATCAGTCTTAGGAAATCCAAATTAAACCTACTATGAGTTACTCCTGCAGACTCACTCAAACGGTCCCAATGCCACGTGCTGATAAAGATATGTAGGAACTAGGGCTTTCATACCTTTCAGGGGGAAATGTAAAATAGTTATTACTTGTTTGGAAAACAGGAAGTTTCTTTAACAGTTAAACATTACCTGCTACATTACCTGTCCATTCTATTTCTCCATAATTTCCAAAGAAAATGAAAATGTGTTCATAAGCTGGGTGTGGTGTTTCGTGTCTGTAATCCCAGCTACTCAGGAGGCAGAGGCAAGAGATTACAAGTTCCAGGTGACTCTAGGCAAAGTTAGGGAGACCCTGCCTCCAGAACAAACACAGAAAGGCTGAGGGTGTAGCTCAAGTAGTAGAACACTTGCCACGCACACATGAGGCCCTGAGTTCAATCCCTAGTACCACCAAAAAAAATTTCTGTATGAAAAATTTTTTTTTTGTTGGTACTGGAGTTTGAAGTTGGGGCTTCATGCTTGTTTGTAGGTGCTCTTCTGCTTGAGCCATGGCTCCAGCCCTTTCTGCTCTGGCATTTTGGAGATAGGGTCTTTTTTTTTTTTTTTTCAAGCCAGTATGGACTGAGATTCTCCTGTTTCTCCTATTTTATGCTTCCTGTCATCACTGGGATGCTACATACATGCTGACATGCCCAGCTTTTTCCACTGAGATGGAGTTTTACAAACGTTTGTCTGGACTGGCCTGGAACCACAGTCCTGATCTCAGACTCCCAAGTAACTAGGATTACAGGCATGCCCAGCCAATAACATTCCGTGATATAGATGTCTGTTCCTACATCCTTTCGTTTCTTTTAAGACCATACAAAAACTTGTACAACAAATGTTTACAACAATTTTACCTGTAATGACCAAAAACTTTAAATAACCCAAACTGTCAACAAATTAGTGATTAAATGGATAGTGGTTTATCCATATAAATGGAGTACTACTTAGCAGTAAAAATGCATGATCTATTAATACAGCAGCATGGATAAGTCTCAAAATAACGAAACTAAGTGAAAGAAGCCAATATCAACTGTTTACTCTATGATTCCAATTTTGGAAAATGAAAACTCATCTACAGTGACAGGAAGGAATAGTGTCACCTGAGGACTGGGATGGGGGAGGGCAGCAAAAATCACAAAGCAGCATGAGCAGGCTTTGGAAGGTAATGTCATCTTCATTATCCTGATTGTGGCAATGGTTTCACAGATGTATGTCAAAACTCATCAACAGTCTGCTTGTATGCATTAAGTTTGTGCATAATAATTGTAGTTTAATAAAACAGTGTAAAAGTAAATAATTTGTCAGCATTTCAACTTAATACCAAAGTTACATGAGCAGGAATACCTTTTTTAAAAACATTATACTAAGTTAAAAATATATCTGTTATGAAAAATTCTAAACGTTACTTTTGTTATTTTAAATTGACTTTGACAGCTTAAAAATGACTTAGCTGGGTGTGGAGATGCACGCCTGTAATCACAGCTATTCAGAAGGTAGAGGCAGGAGGATTGCAAGTCTGAGGCCAGCCTAGGCATCATAGCAAGACCCTGTTCAAAAAAACTTTTTAATAAATTAATTTTTAGAAAAGAAAATCTCTTGGGCTGGTGGAGTAGCTCAAGTGGTAGAGTGCCTATCTAACAATGTGAGGCCCTGAGTTCAAACTCTAGTACCACCAAAGAAAAAGAAAAATCTCAAAATTATAGGAAACCATGGCCATTGTCTTGAGAACTTGAGTCCCACTGCAGTGTCTCAGGAGGGGTGGCCTTCCCTGAAAACATTAAGTAGTGGTTCCTTTGCCCGGTTCCCCTCTTTCTGATTCCAACTTCTTTTTACAGTGTTCTTTTCCACTGTAGGGTGCCCATAAAGAGAAGTGTACTGCTTATGATGGCTGGAATATGCCAAACCAAGTGATATTCACCTTAAAGTACTCCACCAGATCTTTTTTGTGAAGGATTCTTTTAAGATAGGGTCTCACGAACTATTGTCTGGGCTGGCTTCAAACTAAGATCCTCCTGATCTCTGCCTCCTGAGTGGATAGGATTAAATTGCTTTTATTCCCTTTATATCAACCTGTTGGCATTCTGATTTTAGTAAGTGAAAGAAAGCCTGAATCAGATCATCTAAAATGTTAGAACTAGTATGAATAGATTTTCAAGAATTTAAGTAGGATTCCTTCCCTTTAACCAGTTAATTATTACTTTGTCATGTTTGTTTAAAATTTGGTGTTAACCTATGATTCTTTGGGGGATTTTTGTGACTGAAATATTCAAACACTGTAACATCTGATTCGTCCTACACTACCTTTTTCTTTCAGGATAATCATTCTGATTATCATTCCTGGTGTAAAATCTTTGGTAGTCTGTTCTTAAAATATGTATCATTGAGATAAATGTATCATTATCTTGTCTCCAGATGTCTTCATTAGCTAAGGTTTTTTATTGAATTCTCCATTCCTTAATTATTGTGATCCTCCCTGAATTCCACACACTTCCTGTGTTTTTTATTTGAAATGTTTCAAAATAACGTATTACCCATGTTATCTGCTTACTGATGTTGATTACAGGTGTTCTAAAATCAGAATAAAAATGGTTTGCTGTTATATTAAATTTCAAAGCATAAGAACTTAGAAGAAAACTTAAGAGTCCAGCTTTCTGCCTAAGGTTAGACTCTTCCTGGGTGAGACTCCCTGACAGTCATGCACCATCACTAAAAACATGGTACTGTTAGTATTTTCATGAAACAACTGCCTAGTATTGGTCCACTTCTATTGTATTGAGTTTTCCCCCTTAAAATAAACTGAAATTATCTTTCTCTTATCTCTGCTTGTTTGGCTTGATTCTGTCCTTTCAAAAGGAGAATAGTTGTTATTTTTTTTCCAGATCACTGAAGGTATTTGAAGATATGTATGTCCCTGTGGTGTGTGTGTGTGTGTGTGTGTGTGTGGTATGTGTGTATAGAGCCTTGCACTTGAATCCTACCCTACCTGTTGCCTAGTTATTTTTCAGATAGAGTCTTGC